AGTCATGTACTCCAGTGCGGTGAGCGGCTTTTTGTGTCGGCTGTCTCGTTAAAACATTCACGAGGTTTGGCGCGATCGGTTGAACTGAAGTATTAGAAAGAAAGCAAGACATGAGATTGCGTCGGCGAGCTAATTGTGTATTATTCGTGACATTTTGACAGTACAATCCTGATGCTGCGAGAATTTGAAGTTGTTTAAATCGATGCTCTGGAAGGGGATGCGGTAGACATGCATGCAATCGCACACCGCGCATTAGAGCTATATTAGCACCGCAGGGATCTCGTGTGACTGATAGAACCATTCCAAGCAAATCCGGCGATTCAGTCGAGGATGTTGACTGCAGATAACCCTGGGGCATACATTGCTGGTTTAGTAATTGATATACCACAAATGCATTGGCTCGTAGTTCGCGGTATTCCAGAAACGTGAGTGCCAAATCGACAAAAATGAATAATGCAGTTAAGAGCAAAGATCCAGCACTTGACATGCACACAGATATGAAAAGAGAAGTGTACAAATCCACAGTGAAACTTATAATTTGCGGTATGAAGTCTTCCAATTCACGCGTGGCACGTATTACCAAATATTTGGACCCAAAATTCCAAATTGGCAGCATGACTACTGTAAACGTACGATACGGCGATGGTGTTAAGTCGTAAAGCGCTTTGTAGTATGGGTATATGATAGCGAGAGCCAAGTACGCGTGCTGACATCGCTGGAATCGCACAAAGTATGGCCGACAGTTAGAAGTCTTTGCGAATGGTGATGTGCCCAACACGAGCAGAAAAACTACTGGAATGTAGATTGCAAGTACCACGCTTCCAATTTGTTCAATAAACGGAAGAGGGAACCCAACCTTGCTGGAAATATACAGCATGGTAGTCATGTACATTACCGTAAGTGAAAAAGCAATGTTAAAAATCTTGAGAAGCGACACCTTTAAGACCGGAATAAATGAAGCAAAACTGAAATTGGCTGTCAAAATCATCGTGAACACTGCAATTGCCAGACGAACCCAAAACATCCAGTTGGCTCTCCATCCTTCAGACGGCTTGCGGAGCGGAAGGCACTCCAAAAAGATTGCAACCGCGAGAGTAGGTATTGGAGTGAGCAAGCACACTAGTATTACACGAACGCGAGAAGTGACATCGCAGTACGCATTGAAGCTTTCGAGACGCTCAATTGAGTAAGAGCCTTGACGACCCACTTGTAATCCATTCCATTTTTTTTCGAGACGATTCCACATCAACATATTTGAGATGGCATGTGTTAACCCGACTGGTGCTTCTATTTTTAAGCTTGACCGTTGAAAGTGCAATGGATGACTCACTCGTAATGGATCCCCATGAGACATAATTTGCAGAAGAAACAATCATTGATTTAGCATTCGTGGTGAAATATGGCAATCATCGATATGGAATTTTCGATGCAGCACTATTTCTCTGTAGAGGTTCGTCATCGATGCCTGAAATATTCAAAGTAATTGTCTCTCCAACTGTATATGAAGTTTTGGTGTTCATCGCAATGAGTTAAAAAAACTTAAGCGGAGTCTTCATTAAAGGCGAATATACAGGACATAACAACTGTCTGCAACTGTATCAAGCTGATATGTTATTCCGAGATTGCTTGCAAATGATGCCGTGCGGAAAAAACCCGACTTGTTATATCGTCATTTAAAATATCCCATTTTACTTGCACATTTTGCAGCGCTGCGTCCAGCTTTCAATAGAGAAACAAGAGCTCTGATGAGACTCAATTGAAGGTAACGTCCTTACTGATTCTGACGATGATTATGTATTTCAAAGAAATGTAACCACCAGCTCCTAGATCCGCACCTCAGTTTCGGGTTGCTTACGAGTAGTATGTAATCTTCATATCAAAAGCATTAAGCTGCTTCTTATACTTGCTGGAATGTATGAGGAATACAGACCCGATGACGTCCACTCTCTCGATCTTGATGCTCTGTTGCGTCAATTGCAATCGCAGAGTGCAGTATAAAATATCTGCACTAGACGAAAAATAGGCACCAAAAATATGTTTGCGCTACTAAACTCATGTAATCGACAGCTCATACTAAACATTTGTGAAGACACATCGGCTTCACAAGGGAGAAAAGGTTCGCACTCTCGTATTTTCATATCGATTTAGATTCTCAGTATCAGGTACTTTAAGCATCTTTTTGCTTACATATTGGCAGACTTACCTGTCGTCTTACAGCAATGATGTCAGGTACCCGCTTAATATTTATAGCGGATTCGTTTGCTGCCTGTTGTGGCTATACAAAAGTGCAAGACTCACGTTAGCGATTCACCACACTTTGAGTGTGTCATTCGGTAACATCATTCACCCAAATTTTCGAGGCTTGATTGATCTGCATTAGCATCAATTCCTGTGCGTAATATAAATGAGAGATTCGCGCTTTGATGCCTTCCCTTCGTAGGTTTCCCATCGATGACGGCTTTCGTCTTTATGATTTCTCTGCTGCATAACGAAGGAGGATGACAGGCTAAAAAAATGAAACGATCACAGCGCAATATCAACATGAAGTCATCTCTGTCTGAAAATATCCAGCATAAACCAAAGGTCTGCTATACCTAGCACATTTGACGCTGCTGTTATGAGCCCCAGACGGAAATATACATCTTGGCCAGAAGATATCATTTTTTTTATTATGGAGTATCTTCCCGACTAGATAGGACTGAAACTGTCGTGCAGAGGCTTTGAACACGTGAGTCTGGCAATGCTTTTCGCGGTCTATCTTCCCAAGCAGAAAAGTGACGCCTCGCCACGACAGTGATGGCGAACGTTGCAATATTTTGCGAGATATGTTTAAAACGACATTAGATCTTTCCGAATCGTAGTCGCCAGACAAAATGTATTATAGCAGCGTGTTGATCCGTGCAAGAGCGCAGGGTGTACAATGACTTTATTTGCGGTAAAAAGTGATCGCTCATCAATCCTCGATAGCGGGTTACCTGTTGATCACTAATCACCCAAAAAAGCTCTGCACGAAATGATGTTCATGTGAAACAATATCAACACCGACGCCAACAGTGCGTCGTTTTCATTTAGATCCAATATCATGAAAAGAACCGCTGACTGAATCGAACAAAGCACATTGACGTGGTACTGATTGAATGTGACTACACGTTGACGTGAATCTTTGTCATGTAGTCCCTATGTGCCAATAACGACATTCAAAATGTGAATAAGTTTTAACTTACTAGAACCATTTAATCCGACAAAACCAAAACAGCTCGTCAATTCCTCACCCATATGCACATCCTCTAACAGTAAGGGTGACGGTACAGCGATGCCTTCGATTACGCAGGTGTGTAATATTCTTCTCGTCGTATGTCATATTAATGAAATCGCTGCGTCAATCTTCTCCAGCGCCTAAATATGCGACTGCACCGACCGATACTTCTTTGTGGTGGTCTGCAGTGCATCACAATCCTTGTGTTGTTCGCGTACATTTAATTCTATTGTGTGCACAAAAGTGTCCCCGAAGTATTTTTTGACTTGTCAAGCATAATGATATTGTGTTTTGCTTCTTTTACTCTAACAGATCAAATCACATCGCCAGCATCCAAGTGCTTTATCGATTTATCGACAGTAGCAGATCCAGATGCAAGCTAGCCTGTGCCATACGCATCCTCCAATTAACAGAATGCGTTTGGTCGGTTCAACTATTGAAAGTTTACGCCGTCAAGTCAGTTGCTGTACAATTTTACACTAAATTCATTTAGATATTCGCGACATGTACTTTATCAAAAATATCAGATTTTCATTTGGATAGGTTTCGCATATAAGGCAAAGTGAGAAGTGACTTCGGAAGATTCCAGGCTAACTACAGTAGATTTCTTATCTGTCTTAGCGAATCAATGATTGCAACTGCGTTCTTAGATCCTTCATTTCGTTGAGCGTCCAGACCTCCGCTTATGGTTTACTCCTTTATTAAGGCACATGAATTCTTACTCGAAAGTGTTACCTTTGTCGTAAGCTCCAAATGGAAGTAGCTGCCTCTTTTAATGGGTAGTTGATACTTCTGGGTGACGTTGAGCATTGCGTCTGTTCGCCTATTCGACAAGTAACATCACGCCGTTCTTTTAGCATGGGCAACGTAGCTTTTTGCAGAAGCGGGTACACTGAAGTGAATATAATTTATGTAACGGGTCCGTACTGTACTACTCCACTACACAGAGTACGAAAGTACCCGTAAATTTAGGTCCGTGGGAGACACGCGCATGTAAGTGTGACAAGTATACTGCATAAAGTTTCAATTCTGGAAAGTCTTACTAGACTAATCCTTAACATATGTCGCTTCTGAAATAGCAGAGCAACTACGTAGTAGAGATACTTGAGGATCTACTTTTAGGTTAATCATGCGGATGGATTCTCTGTGTATTGTAAAATTAGACTCGTCGAGTCAAAACTTATTCAAGGAAATACACGGTAAGTCTGTCGGACATGGCTGCCCTAGCAACCGAGTATAAATAGGTGGTGAGTGATTACGACTTTCTCAATAAAATGTGTCTTCAAGATAGTGGACACAATCAAGAAATCATGTTTCTTTTGCTGGACACGACAACTGGCAGTCCAAAGGCTGAAAGCAAAATCGCTCGCCTAAACGCCATGACCAAATATGCGAATGCGCAGGTGATATACCCTCAGGACAGGGCAGGTGGATGCCGGTTGTGCATCAACCGAGCAGTCGCCAAAAATAGCGTCGAGCTCCGGACATAAAGCATAAAAAAAAATTATTTCTTTTTTATTTGGGATACTAACTGCTTTTAATCTAGGTAATATAATATTAGTTGATTTAATTAAAATAAAACTTGTTTTTTGTTTTGTAATCTCTCAAATATATGTTTAGAACAAGTTTTTGACCCTTTTTTATAAACATATTTTTTTTTTTTTTTTTT